TAATCCGAACGCGTCTTAGCATTGACCGCACGTCGTCGCGCGCCAAGAAGTGTGTTGTACCACACGACGGACGAATACGGTGCGTACGATTAAAACGCAAAACACAAGTGCGAAATTCGGTTTTTTTTTTTCGCAGGGAAGGTGGGACGGGCGAAGGGGTTCCGTGTGGGTAGGGTCGGGTACACGGCGTCGCGTTTTCCAATCTCGTTACGCACACGGTATTTGTAAAATATAATTGTACACGGACCGAGGACGGGAAAACATATACGTGGCACAAACACGTCGTGTCGTGACGAATCGTCGGCGGCAACGATATTATTATTATTTTTGGATACCGGCGGCGTTTACTCCCCTGTATTCCCTCCTCCCCCTCCCCTTCGACATTCCGGGTGGCTCGCGAGAGGCGGAAACGGTCGAAATAAACCGCGACGACGACGACGACGACGACACGACGCACGTACCATTATATCCCGAAGAAAAACGAGCGCGCGCACCGAGTACGCGTATTTTACCGATATCCGTTCCCCGGTTTTCCCCTTTCTCAAACCCGGCCATCGGTTATTATCGGGCGGCGTTTTTTTTTTTGCCGTCGAAACGCGGACCGTGTGCGCCAAAAAAACGGGAAAATACATTTACCGCCGGTCGGTCTTTCCCGGGAAACGGACGGAGCGGCAGCCGGACGGGAGAGGATACGAGAGAGCGACGACGACGACGCGCGTTTCTACTCGGTACGATAATAACAACGTAATCGATTTTCGTTACGATTTCGAAGCCGAGCTGCGGCTAACAGGTCGCGTCCGTCGCGGCGTATACGCGCAAAAATCGTCGCCGTCGTCGTCATTAGCCCGAACACGTACACAACGAGCGCGCGCGCGCGCGCACACACACACACACATACACACACGCGCGCGCGCGCGCGCGAGCGATAGGATATAATAGCAATCGTAATTTTCTTTGCGCGCTTTCTTCTCTTCTCCGCGAACGCGCGCACGCACACGACAAGAACAACAATGTTTTTTAATATACAACACCGGAGACGCGGTTTGTACGTTATCTTACAGTATCGATGGTTTTTCAATGGGAAATTAATAAATAAAAAAAAAAAAAAAAAAAATAAATAAATAATAGTAATAATAATAATAATAAAGGGAGTCGT